AACAATGATCCGATCCTTGTAAAACTTAAGACCGAACCTATCAGTGGACACAAAGTCCTGCTCTTTCATAGACTGAATCTCTTCATCAAGCAATTGAGCTGCTTTAATCCGCTCAACTAATGAATTCAGGACCACCGTAGTAGTCAATAAATGCGGACTATCTTCTATATTCACAGGAATGTGGAGATCCCTGAATTTCTCAATCAAATTATACTCGGAAATCATCAAATTGGCCATACCAAGCGCCTTTCTGCTTAAAGCATCAGCTACTACATTGGCTTTACCAGGGTGATATTGCAATTCAAAATCATAATCCTTCAGAAATTCCACCCATCGGCGTTGCCTCATATTTAGCTCCTTCTGATCAAACAGATACTTTAAACTTTTGTGGTCACTGTAGACAATAAAATCGGCCCCGTATAGAAAGTGTCGCCAGATTTTCAATGCGAACACTACGGCTGCCAACTCAAGATCATGTGTCGGATAATTCTCCTCATGCGGTTTCAACTGCCGAGAAGCATAAGCGACCACCTGACGGAACTGCATTAACACACAGCCTAACCCAAACTTAGAAGCATCACAATACACCACAAACTTACTTGTAGGATCCGGCAATATCAATACCGGAGCTGTAGTCAACTTCCTTTTTAACTCTTGAAAGCTCACTTCACATTCTTGGGTCCACACAAATGGGTTCCCTTTACGGGTTAACCGTGTCAAAGGTAAAACCATCCGTGAGAATCCCTCAATAAAACGCCTATAATATCCAGTCAAACCAAGAAAACTCCTGATCTCTGTAACATTTTTAGGACGTTCCCATTCTACCACTGCTTCAATCTTGCTCGGGTCCACTGCCACTCCTTCAGATGAGATGACATGGCCCAGAAATTGTATCTCAGAAAGCCAGAATTCACATTTTGATGGTTTAGCATACAATTGATGCTCTCTCAGAATCTGCAAAACAACCTTTAGATGCTCAGAATGCTCTTCTTTACTCTTTGAATATATCAGTATGTCATCTATAAAGACCACCACAAACTGATCCAGATAGGCTTTAAAGATCCGATTCATATAACCCATGAAAACGGCTGGTGCATTTGTAAGCCCAAAAGGAATAACCAGATACTCACAGTGCCCATAACGGGACCTGAAAGTTGTCTTCGGAACGTCATCCGGCTTTACCCGGATCTGATGATACCCGAACCGGAGATCAATCTTAGAAAATACAGTCGCACCCCGCAACTGATCCAACAAATCATCTATCCGCGGCAAAGGATACTTATTCTTAACAGTAACCTTGTTCAACTGCCGGTAGTCTGTACATAATCTCATAGACCCATCCTTCTTCTTAACAAAGATCACCGGGGCTCCCCAAGGAGACACACTCGGCCTAATAAAAATTTTTCTGGATAAGTCTTCAATCTGCTTCTTCAATTCAGATAATTCCAGAGGTGACATCCGGTATGGGGCAAGAGAAATAGGTCCCACACCAGGCAATAAGTCAATTGCAAATTCAATTTCCCTCTCTGGAGGAAAGTGCGAAATTTCATCCGGAAAGACATCCTCAAACTCAGAGACAATCGGAATAACAGAAATTGGCTCCTTGTTGACGCCAACCAGACCTCCCAATAAAACATACCCGGAATCTCCTTCCTTCAAGGCCTTTACCACCCGAAGTACAGACAAATAAGGAGACTCCCTTTCTTCATCATGAGATGAGACAGAAATGGTTTTACTGCAGCAGTCAATCTTCACACAGTACTTGGACAACCAATCCATCCCCAGAATTAAATTCACAGAAGCAAGGTGCAAGACAATAAAGTCGGCAGAATATTCCCTGCCCTCATACTTGAATTTCACATTTTCACAAACATAGTCTTCATTAAAAACTCTTCCCACAGCCGTAACAATACGCATAGGAGTTTTCATTTTTATCACATGCAGACCAAATGCTTCAGCTACATAATCAGCAATAAAAGAATGTGTGGCACCAGAATCAAACAAAACACTAAGAATTTCATCACGAATAGAAATCATACCTCGCACCAAACTAGCTGACCTCTCAGCCTCTTGCTGAGTCACTGCATAAACTCGGGCAACTGGAGGTGGGAGAGGTAGAGATGGTTCATCAACCACAATAGGAGCCGGAGTGGCCTGAATAGTAGAAACCTGTCCCCCATTAAAGGGGCAGTCCCTAATAAAATGCCCAGGTTGGCCACATTTGTAACACAATCTTTGCTCTTTTCTGCAAACCCCAGCATGAACTTTACCACATGTAGCACATAGAGAAGCAGGCTTAATATTTCCAGGCTTAGAATTTCCCGCCTTTTTGAACTTACCATCAGACTGTCTAACCTGCAACCCTTTTCCTTTAGAATTCCCAGAGGTGTTTTTAGGACCAGAATTAGGAGCAGATTGGTCCTTATTCTTCCTTCTGTAATATTCTTGAATATTTTTACACTTTTTAACAAGTGCAGCAAAAGTATCAAATGAGTCAAGCTAAAATGTTTGACATCAAATATTAACTGTTATTTTTTATTAATCTAACCGTTGATTTCCGCCAATGTCAAACTTTGACACCAATGTCATCAAACTTTAAAATTTGACATCAAATTCTAACCGTTGATTTCCGCCAATCAACGGTTATCATTTATTGGGAATCAAACTTATTAATTAATTATTAATTCTCAATAAATGATAACCGTTGATTGACGAAAATTAACGATTATGATTTGGTGTCAAATTTCAAAGTTTGAAACCGGTATCAAATGATCTTATCCCTATTATATATATATATATATATATATATATATATATATATATATATATATATATATATGAGATAGGATCATTTGACACCGGTGTCAAATTTGAAGTTTGACATTTCATCTGAGAGCCGTTAGATCAAAAAAGATCAATGATATCACATGCTTACCAATCAGAGTCGTTAGGATCCTTTGACACCTCATATGAGAGCCGTTAGATAAAAAAATATCAACGACTCTAATTTGTAAGCATGTAACACCATTGATATTTTTTGATCTAACGGCTATCAATGAAATGTCAAATTTCAAATTTGACACTGATGTCAAAGGATCCTACCTCATATATATATATATATATATATATATATATATATATATATATATATATATATATATATATCAAACGCTTCTAACTAATTAGATAGCATCCCCTAACTTTTAAGTAAGCTAGCTTATCCGGATTCGTATACAAGCATAAACTCTGATGATACTACTCTTTATTATTATTTTTGCTAATATCCTCCTCTACTGCTTTGAACACAAAATTAAGCTTTATGATAAAAACTAAATAAAAGTGATGATCATGCATATAAGAAACTTAGCCCAAGAGAAACTAAATTTGGAATATTTAGTACAAAGATCGAATTCTAATAAAGTTGAAGAAAATTCTATATATCAAACGAAACCCAAATCCAAGCCCTCTATCGTGCCTAATAATGATCAATGTCTCCACTTTTTCTTAAAAAAATTGAAGCAATTCATACATTTTATTACATCCTTTGCACATTTTTTCCATAGCGGTTTCTGCAAGAATGAGGTTGTTTATTGTGCTTTCCCGAAAAAGCAAATTCCTGTTTTCACCTTCGATTATATGAATTTTTTTTAACATTGAGTTGGGTCTCAGTACTAATTATTAGGTGTTATCTGATATTATTACGATGAGTTATTTTGTTATAAACATAGAACACTCAATGAAAGCACCAAATGATAGAGATACATGAGATCACCGTTCCAAAAGCTAGTTCAAATGGTGGAAGTGTCCAGGACTTTATAAATCCCACACTAATTGCCTACACAATCAATATAAGACTCCTAAGAGACTGTATATAAGAGTTTCTCCATTCAAAAAATTATAATTATGTATTATAAATAATATATAATTATAATATTAATTTTTTTTTTTAATTATGTATTATGAGTAATACATAATTATAATATTAAAGAATAGATTGCAAAACAACACTAATATTATATTTATATTTATCCATAGTACATAGTTAAAAAATAATTTTAATATTATAACAATATTACCTGTAATATATAGTTAATAAAACAATTTTAATATTATAGTTATATATTACTCGCAGTATATAATTAAAAAATATGTAATTGAACAAAACCGTCACATAACAAACCATTTTTTCTAATTTGTTAATACAATTTAGTAAAAAAGTAAATACAACAAACTTTTTTAATACTTCTATCAAAAGGTATTCTCGTTCGAACTCCTCTTGCTATCTTATTTTTAGCTACTTTATTTTCAGAGTACGGTCACTAAGACTAATTATTTAGAGAATAGATCATCTCATGTGAAAAAGTGATCATGTTATTTGATCACAATCACTCGTTTAAAAATTATACACTTTTCTTTTTTTTATCTTATCACCAATGAGGGACTGTGATCAAATAACATGACCATTTTTCACATGAGAGAATCAATTCCTAATTATTCATTAGTACTACAGGTGCTTTGGACATTTGTCACGGGGAGAGAATAAGACAAATCCAGAAGGCAACACAAAACCCCTTCGCAGCGAGCTCGTTTAATGTGCTCCTGGAGCTTTGCTCTCATTCCAAAAGTGGGATAAAAAATGGATTGAGATGGAATTTAGAAAAAAAAGAAAAGAGTATAAATAAAAGATTTTTTTTTTTTTTTAGTAAAGAACCATGGAAGTATATTAGAAAAATCCCTTCTTCGGAGCACAGTTCACTACCATATCTGCCCACCCCGGGGTTTAATACAGTATTTTTTAATGCATACAAGTAAAAAGAAAAAGGGGGAGTTAATACAGTAATTTAGCCAACTATAAAAGGAGACGAGTAGGTCATCATTTCCCGCCAAAGTGAAAGCTAGCAGCGCGAAATTCCATTTCGCTGTGTGTGTGTGTGTGGCTTCTTTCGGAGTTGAGTGAAAACCTAAAACTGTGATTGGATCTCAAACGCAGAGAGAAAGGAATGAAGGGCGGCACGATTCAGATAATCTGGCATGAGAACAAACCTGTCTTAACCCTCGATTTCCATCCTCTCTCCTCCACTCTCGCCACAGCCGGCGCCGATTGCGACATTAAGGTCATTCTTTCTTTATTCTCATCGTTTAGGGTAAATCATTGTGAATTTTCCTTCAGCATCGTTGAATTGATTGTGAAATAAAGAGAAACATTGAAACAACGAAGGAATGCCTCTTGATTTTGTTACAGTTAACATGTGATTCGTCTTCTATTTCCACAGCTTTGGTCAATAAAACCAGCAGGAACACAGAATAAGCTACCCGTAGTTACCTATCTTAGTAGCCTGTCTCACCATAGTACTGCAGTGAATGTTATTCGCTTCTCTTCTTCTGGTAAGGGCATATCATTTCTGTTAAGTTTCGCAAAATACTTTGTTTCATAGAAGCATTAACTATATTTAATTTGGCGGTTCTGACTTCAATTGTCAAATTTCCTCTCTTGATTAATTGTTGAATCTAAGGAACTGTTTAACCCTTTTCGCTTCTCTTAGATCTTTTTCTGTATGATGAGATTGGAATTTTTCGAGTCAATTAGTTTCATTCTTCACCCCAACTCACTATCCAACTGGAAAAGAAGTGATGTTTTTTGTTGGTAAATTGGTAATTACTCTTTTTTTTTGTTGATGTTTCAGGGGAACTGCTAGCCTCTGGTTCTGATGGTATGACTTTGATGACTACTACGGAATATTTGGCTCGAGTTAGGCAATGTTACCAAATTAGATTTTTCTTTTTTCAGGAGGTGACCTGATAATATGGAAGCTACATTCTACAGATACTGGTCAGACATGGAAGGTTCACAAGATGTTACGGTAAGGCCTCTGCTTTGATTAGTCAATGAGTCTTTTCATGCATTATAATTTAAAAGTTAACATCATGAATAAACTGGCAGTATTGCAAATTTTTGCATATTTTGGACGGTTAACATCCCCATTCTGATGTGAATTGCATATTTCGCCAGTTTCGAGGTTTCATAGTTTATTCAAAAAACAAAGGCCAAATTCATTGTCACCTGTTTTAATTTAACATAATAATTCCTTTTTTATTTATTTCTGAAAAAATTATATGAGAAATAATATTTTCAAAACTCTGATTAAAACCGCTCATAAAGACCAATCACGTTATTGTTATCATTTTGTTTTTCAATATTCATTCGGACATTCATGTTTTACAGCATTAATTTCCTGCTTATAATATTTTTGTGAATCAGGTCTCATCACAAGGACATTCTGGACCTGCAGTGGTCTACCGATGCCACTTTTCTCATATCTGGATCAGTCGATAATTGTTGCATTATTTGGGATGCTAACAAAGGTAAGAAAGGCAACACATAACTTCAGCTTGTGTCCTTAATATGCTTTGACCGTGGCGCATGGCAATTGATATGGTGTAACTGTAATGGAAATCGATAATATGCTTGGTTCATATTCTTAAAGTATTTGATCCTTGTGTGTCAGGAACTAACCTTCAGACATTGGATACCCATGCACACTATGTTCAGGGGGTTGCATGGGACCCTCTTGGGAAGTATGTTACTTCTCTTAGTTCTGACAGGACTTGCCGAATTTACATCAATAAGCCTCATAAATCAAAGGGCACCGAGAAAATCAATTATGTTTGTCAGCATGTTATTTCTAAGGCAGAACAGCCATTATTAAAGGATTCTAAGGTTAGGATATTAAGATCCATATTCGTCTTTTTTTGCATCATGGATGGAATGTCACAAACATGAATATCAGGCGTAATTTTTATGATGCAGTTATCGAAATATCATCTCTTCCATGATGAGACGCTGCCATCTTTCTTCAGAAGATTAGCCTGGTCTCCCGATGGTTCATTTCTACTTGTCCCTGCAGGTATCTATCTACTTGAGTAGATCTTGATTCAATTATTCTTTCTTTTTTGCGCTTGTTCTGTGGATGAGCTTTTGTAAATGTATGCAGAGATTCTTTTAGAATCAGGCCAGTGCTTTATTCTTTCATGGTCTATCATCTTTTATTTTACAACAAAGTGGATGATGCGGTCAAAGCTTAATTGTTAATTTATGTGTTGTTAGTTTCCTACTCATGTTCACACAATTTTTATTTTTTCTCTACTTTGTTTTGCCTGACATGCATATAATATAATTGCAACTTATAGGTTGAATCACATCTATTGATTTCTTCATCTGAATTCCTGCATAGCTTTTACTTTATGCACTGATTCTTACAGCAAAGTTCATATGCCACTTTACCTATTTCAGGCTCTTACAAAATTAATACTGCATCTGAATCTGTAAATGCGGCTTACATATTTTCTAGAAAAGATCTTTCTCGGTAAGTCTTTCAGCTATGTTATCTTTTAAAGTGCTGAAGACATTATGCAAACCCAAAACAGACTTCCAATCTTCTGCTATCTAGATGAGCCATCAAATTTCAATGCTGCAAACTATACAGTTAATCTGGCTTTTATGCAATGTTGTTAAAACGTAGAGTCTACGCCGAAACAGTAAGGGTAATCAAAAACGTAAAAACGTGAAACGTAAACGTAAGAGTACATACCTAAAAAATAAAATATCCAACATATAACCAAAACATGCCCAAACACTAAGGAAATAAAAATTAATTTTGAACTTAGTCATCATAATACATACTAAAATCAAAATACTAAGGCAATAAAATAAAAGATAATAAAAATATATAATTTTAAAACGCAGAACTACATATAAAATTCAGAGAAATATATAATTTTATTTTTTATATTTTTTTCTATAAAATAAAAATGGCCAGAAACAATCATATATATCCCAACGAAGAGATCTGTAAATAAAAAAACAATCATATATATAAACAATCATATATATCCAAACAATCATATATACCATAAATAAATAAAAAAAGCCAAAGCACCGACTGATTAGGAACGTGTTTGCTTAGAAGTAGGAAAGAAACAAATAGGAAAAAAAAAAGAAACGAGAACGCTGATGTCTTGCTCAGACTAGGAGAGAAACGAGATCCAAAAAAAAAAGGTATCAAATGGGTGAAGTAAGTTGCTTGGTGATGTGAAGTCCGAAGTTCAAATGAGTTGAATCTGATATAAATTGATCAGAAAATAGCTGCTGTATTCTGCTTTGTCCGAAGTCCGATTCTCGAAGACCACCGTCCACCGCTTGCGACTTGCGAAGGAGACAAAATATCCAAACGAAGAGAAGAGACCCAATCACCGAACCCAATACAATCGGGTATTAATAATATATTCTAAAACAAAAAAAGTCATTATTTTTTGTAACAGAACAAATCAGAAATAGACCCACTGAGAACGCACCCAGTTCGGCCCGTTTTTTTTTTTTTTATAATTCTGAGTCAACTCGGTAAACTCGCCGAGTCAACCGAGTTGACTCGCCGTTTCAACCGTTTCAACACATTTTACGTTTCAACAACCGTTTCAACACGTTTTTTAGGCAAAAAAACGTAAAATCGTACGTTTCAACCGTTTCGACACTACGTTTTAACAACACTGCTTTTATGTGTTATTATTCATGTTAAGCTAATGATCCGAGTTGCAAAAGCATGTGTCTATGATGCGTTTTATTTTATTATTTGACCCGATATACAGGCCTGCTATACAGCTTCCTTGTGCAAGCAAACCTGTTGTTGCTGTCCGGTTTTGCCCCATTATTTTTAACCTTCGGGGAACTCACTCAGGTACTTATTTACTTGGTATACTTGTATTTAAGAACAATCACTATATACAAATGGTGCTCGATGGTACTGTTACAATTGAATTGCCTGAGTGGCATGGGGGTCAACTTAAATCTGAGACTTTTTCCCCACCAAATAGTATTGCTTGAAATTCTGCTTGTCTTGGAGAATGTATTGCTTAGCAGATGCATAATGCTGATTTTGTTTAGTGCAGATGGGTTATTTAAGCTCCCGTATCGCATTGTATTTGCTGTCGCCACTTTGAATTCATTGTACATTTACGATACCGAGGGCACTTCTCCAATAGCAGTATTAGCTGGTCTTCATTATGCTGCAATAACAGATATCGCCTGGTAAATGTTATAGTGGATAGTAAATCCTCTTCAGGTTTGAGAATTAAGATGGATTTTTTTGGAAAAGATTTAACTATAGCCAGTATGTGTTCACTAGGTCACCTGATGCCCATTATTTGGCATTGTCCTCACAAGATTGCTTTTGCTCATTGGTCGAATTTGAAGATGACGAACTTGGATCACCTTTCTCTTTACCACGTAAGCTGCGTTTGTTTTTCTGCAGTTATATTTTCACCACTGAGGTTTTTAATTTCCCTATTACATATTTTCTAGAAGGAAAGGTCTCAGACAAGGATTGTAAGAGCACCCAGCAGACAGCCAACGACACTGTCCTTGTACCAACTGGGGATGTTGGTGCACTGGTAGCAGAAAGCAGGAAATTGGAAGAAGAGAAGGCTGATGACATGATCATTGAAGAAGAGAAGGTTGATGACATGATCATTGAAGCAACTGGAAGTGTTGGAGCAGCTGTATTAGATAGTAGAAAAACTGAAGCAGAGGATAAAGCTGAGAAACTAAATTTAGGAGCAGAAGAGAAGGCAGAGAAACAGCCAGCAAATTCAGATGGAAAACAAACTGAAGCAGAAGAGAAGACAGAGAAACCGCAATCAAGTTTAGATGGTATAAAATCACAACCCGAAGAAAAGGTAGGGAAACAATTGTCCAGTTCAAAAAGTACGCCCATCTCAAATAAGTCAGCTAAGAAGCGTATTACTCCTATTTCAATTGACCCATAATTTTTCAATTCCGCCTGTGTATATATTTTTGAGCGGCCTATATTTCTAAGTCATCCTCCCCCTCCCCCCAATTTTTGTTTTTCTTGTTTTCGTTTGCAATATCTGTAATATAGATTCCAATGTAACCTTTAGTGAAAACAATCATTTTTGAGAGTTCTTTGTGAACCTGTTATTCTACTTCTCGTGTCCTATCACATGTTCGAAGATAAAAAGTACAGAGTGATCAAGAAATGAAATTATTAAACAATACAAGGGATGGTAAGACAGCACAAATACCTTTTGTTAATATCTTGCTTGCTTTGGTAGGTGCAAGACATCTTGTTATACGTTACATTTTAAAAATCACATATACTCGTGTTGTGGAAGCAAACATTAAATTTTATTTCGAAGTGTATGAAACAGCAGATGGAAGTTGGCTTGAATAGATATTACATTGCCATACATTTTACTGAGTTGAATAGTACTTGCCACTAATCCAAAAAAATCGAATATAAAGAAATCATGTTAAAAGCACGCGAATAATCTTTTTGATTGAATAGAGATTCTTGGATGATTATTCTCACTTCAGTCTTATTTCATCATCTTAAAGAGAAGGATAATAATTATGTTCCATGTGAGAAACAAAATGTTTTTATCCCATCAACTAGTATTGATTCAACAACTGAATTTTGTCAACTTATGGAAGTGAACATCCTCTTCTGTGGATAGTGCCTGGACTTGTTCACCAAGTTACTTGATGATCGCAGTTTGTAGCGACAGAAATGGTCGCACAATCCATCTGATGTGAGGTAATTGAGGGCTGTTCATCAAGTCTTTTTAAGACAACATGCCAAGCTAACCACGGATTAAACTGAGCATGCTTTCAACATTCGAGTGGATTGGTCTCCACCCTATCTATGGGTTGTTCTTAACCCAATGTATTGTGCAGAATACAGAGATAAACATCAAGGATCTGAATAGGCGTCATCCCATGACCAATCCTATCAGAATGGTGCCTCTCTCTCTCTCTCTAGGCCAAAAGAAAAACGGAGAAGCAGAAATTTAACCACGATTTCATTCAAATAAAGAGCAATATGACATTATGAAAACAGGGCAATCTGGAAAAGGAAATTGAGTGATTCGTACTATTCTTCTCTTTCACTTTTGTTATGGAGAACAACAGCTTGTCATGATCAAAATCAAAAGCCATGACATGCAGACAAATCTGTCACATCCCAGACAACACCTTTTCTGAGATACAAAGAATTGGAAAATTAATCAAAAAATTACTATCTGTTTTAGACAACCTGGTACAAATACAATCTTAATGGTTATGTGGGGCTTACTTTCACAAAATCTGATGCAATTTTGAGTATTGCAGAAAACCGTGGTAGATGGCAGAGGTCAGCAATTGGAGAATGAGGAGATGGCTCCAGATTTATAATGTTAGCATGGGGATGAAATCTGATCCATACTTCTTATGAAGCATCTGAATTTTTTGAGGTAGGCTTGTAAGTACTAAGAATGTTAGTCTCTCTGATCAGCACCTAGAAAAAAATATATATGAGAGAAGTAATTCTTTTCTAAAAATGATGAAGCATTAGAAAGAGAAAAGTACTCTTTTTCTCTCTGATGTGGAATAAGGGCTGGGGGTTTGTTAAGACTTGAGCTTATGACTAAAGACATACTTTACAGGGGTAAGTAGAAAAATGTAAAGTATCCAAACTAAAAGTTAAGTTACAACTATAATTCATCTGCTTAAGAAAAAGAATAAATAAATTCCCTAAACAGCATGGCATATATGAGAAAAACAAAATAGCTACTTAGCCATGCATTGGTCAACCTGAGAATAGAAACTACTAAGAAATAAAGTGAAATAAATTACCATGCATTAACATAAGACTAGGATACCAAACAGAATGTGAAATGGAGAGGTCCGATAATTTAAAGGATTTATTACATAGTTGAGGATCGATCTAGAAATAGAACAGCAAGGGAAAATAGTTATTTTGTGGCTCCACATTCACACAGTCACATTTAAGGGCAAATAGTTCTTGCAATTACACCACTTAAGTAATTAGGAAAATACACCCCTCTCCATTTAGTTCTCTACTTATTCACTATAAAAGTAGTGTCATTTGAGCAATATATAAGAGGCTTCACTATTATTCAATCTAAATAATCAGTAATTAATATAAAAGAAACCTTTAAAATTATTGAACAATCCAAAAAAATTACTAAAGAATAGAATCATAAGAATTTATTCATTCCCGATATGATAAAAGTGTAAATTAGACTGAATAAAAGGTAAATATTTAACATTTTTTTTTTTAATGTAAAATGATTTCATTGTCAGTTTAGATAAAAAGTATATTTAAGGGGAATATTTGTCCAATTACTAAACATAGGGGAAGTGATTACACCAATAAAAGTTAAGGGGTGTTTGTGCATCCTACCCAAAAATAAAAAAAGGGGGGTGTTTGTGCATTCTAGCCAATCAAGTATATATATATATATAAGTCATGCCATATAAGCTCTCAGGCAAAGTTAAAAAGAGTATAAGAGTTTACCAAAAAAAAAAAAAAGTATAAGAAAGTAACTGAACTTACTGTGTGATTCCACAGGCCGAAGAGTGATTTCATATTCAGGAAAAAGTTGGGACAGGATAATTTCATTCCACATATCAGGCACTCCAGGTAGACACCAGTGGCTACAATCCTGAACAGATGGAATGTCAGTCCAGTTACCAACATGCGCGTCACTCCGGAAAGCTGACATAGAAGTAACACGGAGAACATTTATAGGAACAGTAACATTATTTACAACTTCCAAAACCGAGTCTGAAAACAAGCTTTTATCCCTTCCATTAGTTTCTAATGTGGGGTACCGGGTCACATTGCAAGTTCTACGGGTTTGATCACTGCAGCAAACATGAAAGCTTGATCAATAATTGTTGAAGTGAGCAGATTATGCCTAGAAAAGATCCGAGTTAATAGAAGCCAAAGCCTAGCAAGCGCCATTTCAAAGGTTAGAAATTCGAATGCATGAATTAAAGTTCCTTAAACTGAACAAAGTTTGCTACATGCAAGGATATTTTGAAGGGGGGAAAAGTGAAGAACAAGATAAATGAATATAGTTCTTACTTCTTAGAAAAGGAATAGTTTTAAGCAATTATATAAAGAAGAAAGCTAAACAACTTAAATAGAGAATCATGTTACCAATATTGTAGGAATACCTCCAGTGAGATGGCTCAAAAGTCCTAAAGAAGACGCGAGTTCTATTTGTATTAATCTCTCTCTCAACCCATGATGCCCAAGTTTCAAGTGCTATTCTAAAGGCAGCAGGAATTGACATCCCAAGTTTCAGAGAGCTTCCAACCTTGAAATAGCAACCCCTGTTGAACACAAGCGAACCATTTTACACAGGAACAAAGAAAAAGAAACAAAGTCAGATCACGCCTAACAAAAAGAAATTTTAAAAGGCAATGGAATGAATGTTTAATTAATAATGAATATTATGTTCGTTACATAGTTTTCTTTCAACTTTTTAATTGAGAGATGAAGATAACAAATGGAAGTTACTTTCAACAAGTCTAACCACTGATACTTTCAAGATGACAAGTAGAGCCTACCCATTCCTCTACCTCACCCCAATTAATTCATTTCACCAAAGCCAAGTTCAGATAATAAGCACATTTCTGCTAACACAGCCTTTGCTGCTACTATGTAACATTCAATTTATAAACATTATGCTTAGAAACAGAATCCAGAAGCAATGTCAGAGAGCTTATCCTGCGTATTAGGAATATTCAAAAGGCAATGCATGAGGAAGAAATTCTCAGGAAAGGTAGTCACAATATTGCTCAATTGTGCATGATCTTAAGTATAATGTCGTTTTTCATTATGAAAGTACTCTTGAATGTAATTTTAAAATCGCATAAAAGGAGGATGCAGAAGTAACTACTATGAATAGCTACCACAATTACATTTACTACAAACATTTCAAATAGATGTCAAAATGGGATATTTGAATATATTCTATTTGATAAAAGAATATGAACATGATGTGATGCATGCCTTAGTCCAACCCGAAACTGCCCTTAGCTCCCACTCTCAGGTTGTGAGATAAAACTCTTCCCTCGATCCCTATCCCTCTTCAGAGAATGAGAAATTTTCCCTTGAAAAATCCAAATCTAATATATTAAATTTTAGATTGTAACAATAATAGGATAGTAGAAACAATATCCAATTAAGCATGACTGTTTCCAATGCTTCTGATGAATTGCAAGGCTCAGATGATATTGGTAAAGAAGCGTAGTAAAATATACGCAGGTTTACAGAAGGTTGAAAGGGCAAAGACAATGTTGATCCCACAGAGAAGATTTGTTAAGGTGATTAAACTTGCTCAAAACGGTGCCAGAGTTGGTTTCTTAAATTAGAAACAGAAATACAAACAATATACACTAAGTGCACCGCTATCTGGGAGGGTCACATGTAATGCCCCACTAACAACAACAAACAATCCAAGTGAGTATAAATAAGAAAACCAAAATTCAAGTGTCAATCATTTCAATTCTTAAGTATAGGCAAGGAAATAGTCATAACAACAATCTCTTGAAATATATTAATTCAACAAAAAAAGGCAGCCTATCGGTTAAATTTTTTGGTAGCTCAAGCATCTCCTATTATATAAATTCTGAAACCATAGCTTTTATTACCTCACTTATATAATGACATTCAAGAACTGCAAAATCATACTGATTAAACTAATAAGAGAACAATAGCTATTGTGAGCTATTAGGTTAACAGTTATGAAAACTTTCGTATTGGTGAACAATTTTTTTCACTTAAATAAAACCTACTGATAGTGATAAACAGGTCAGTAAGAACTGTGAAGACCATGGTAATGAATAGCAAAAGAATCAACTGTAGCAGATATGATCATACACAAGAACACTAATGGCTTTCTATTAAAAAAAAAGAATATGAAAAAGAAGGGAGGCTTACACATCGAAGAGCTTAGATGGCACCCACCAATGTCCAGTGTTGAATATCAGAACATCTGAATTAACCCACTGGTCACTTATATCATCTAACTTGTCCAATATAAGTGTTGATTTGACCCTCCTTGGTGCATGTTTAGGCACAGGACCCTGCTGCACCAGGAAAACCGAGCGAAAAAATTCAATGGTAAAATTGAAGGCACTGAACCGAACCCCTAAGAACCTAATACGCTTTGTTATCTTATTCTGGTTCACTTCATAAACACTCTTCTTATCCTCAACTCCAGCCATCAGCATGCAAATCATAGACTCCCACTGTGTTCTACTCATTGAATCGCCAACAAAAACAACCCTTTTGCTTCTTAACATTTCCAAAACACCGCGCACATCAAACCTTGGAATATCACAACTCTTAGGTTTCCACCTCCAACTAAGATAATCCCTATCACTCCTTCCATTCCCTAAACAATCGAATCCTTGTTCCACAAAAGGACACTCTGTGGCATTGTACAAGGGGTATCCTGGTACCTGGACCCAGCTTCCATCAGAGACATCACAGTTTCTCAGTGATTCATTGTTATGGTCAGAGAAGAAACCTTGGCCATGAAAAAACGCGTGGCTAAGGCTAGGAAGCACATATATGTAGCCACAACCAACGGCTAGAAAGAAGGAAATCACAGACCCAATGATCACAAGGACCTGAAATCTCAGAGAGACCCATCCGAAACGATTACGATCAATTTTTGGACTTCCAATACTGAGAGCCCTTCGATTGAAGGATGCAGTCCTGTTGAACGAAATGCTCCTATTCAAAGCACTCATTGTGACATGCCATTACGCAATCAACTCAGGAAGCATCGCAACGAGCACTAAACCCCTGTTAATAACATCATCAGCAAGTTGAAAAGGCAAATCCAATGACCCAGATAGGAAAGATTCGATTTTGGAGAGAGAGAAAGAAACCCAGATGCTGAAAATTGATAACGTATGAGGCTATAGAAAAATCAAAATCCGAGGAAGAAAGAGTGACACTTGGGTTGGGTGAGAACATGTGTCATCGAAGGTTTGGGTGTGTTGGTGGTTTGATTTGAAGTTGGAACTTTGAGGGCATATAAACTGAAAAGCAGCACGCGGAGAACAGAGTTTTAGTTAAGACATCTGTACCATGATGAGACAAGGTACATTTACTTTCCAAGGAAACCTTTGTTTTTTTTATGTAAGGGCCGTTTGGTTAAGGAAAATTTTTTGGAGTAGTAGGGAAATGTAATAGATAGAGAAATGATTGAAAAGATAGATAAAGTGAGATAGGTAGAAAAATGTAAAAAAAAAATTGTTTGGTGGGAAAAAACTTTACTGAGAAAATTAAGTAACTTTATGAAATCAACAGTGCATTAAAAGCCAGATAACCGGTTTTCCGAAAAATCCCACCTTCAAATTGGGTTTCTAAACAGTGCGGATATCTATGTTTTTCATAAATCCAGACAAATTGGATAGATAGGTTTTTGGTGAAAATACGTTGAAACAAACATAGTGTTTCTAAAAGCCATACTTCAGAAACATAGATATCTGCTGAAAAGCTCCCAACCAAACACCACCTAAATGTTTACATTTTCTTTTTTTCTTCTTTTAGCAAACAAGATAATGTTTTATTCATGAGATGAATAAAATACATAATTCTAATTCCATATTTAATTTTGTAGTCATATAAATAAAATTTTGTAACTTAAAAAAATAGGGATTAATATTTCTGGTATGAAATAAAATTATCTCCTATACGCATATAAAATTAGGGTTCACTTTTGCTGCAGTTACTGCAGATAAGTTATCTGCAGTAAGTCCAAAACAATATTGTTTTGGGGGAGAAATCATGGTATTTTTGTAATTTTAATGTATTTCAGGGTTATTATTATGGGTTAGGATATTTTGACTACCAATTTTTTCTACTACCAATCCACTACCACTTTAATCACCATTGGATTAGAGGAAAAGTTGAATGAAGAGAGAGAAAAGAAAAATAACTTTTAATCCAATGGTGATTAAAGTGGTAGTAGAAAAAATTGGTAGTCAAAATATCCTACCTCTATTATTATAGTCTTCATAATTATAATTTGTTAATCTTTTAATCCCAAAACGACGTCGTTTTGAGAGTATAAATACAGATAACTTATCTGCATTAACTGCAGAAATATTTTTCTGATAAAATTATGTGAGGCTCATATAAGGTTATGTGAATAGAAGAAAGAGAAAAAAAATATGGGCCCCACATTTATACGTGTGTACATATGAATAGAAAAAAAGAAAAAAAATCTCACACACTTTTATGTATGTATAAAAGATAAAATTATCTCATATAATAAAAATAAGAGTAGGGTTATATTAACAAACTCTTTTTTACAAACTTACAAATTATTACACTATGTCTGACCGGTAATACTCTACTCAAGAGTGTCTTATTCAATGTTGTCAAAATCGAGTTTCTACATAGAACAGAAGTGGATGGTAGAAACGACACGAAACGTAAAGTTTTTACTACTTATGGTTAAGATACAAAATTATATATGTACATCACATAAGTCACTACTCAAAATTCAATGAACAATTTTATATTTAAAAGATATAAATCACATAACTATATAAGACATAAATCCAAAAACTTTAAAAGAGTTTAATAACTCCTACAACCGAGTTTCAAAACATCAAAATAATAAAGTTTAATAACTTCTAAATTATTTCAATTAGTTCAAATCAAACACATCATTTTGCATCAGTTCTATGTCCTCAATGTTCTTTTCTCTTGCTCCTATAACAACATAATAGATTGATTCAAAACTCACCTCAGCTTGGTACTCAAACTTTTCACCAATGACTTCATCTCTTCTTTGTCTGCAATAGCGACCTCAAGCTAGGGTTTTCTTTTTCTTCAAATAGCTAGAAGAAAATACTATGCATTTTGATTTAGTGGAAAAGAAATAGGTTTTTTTTTTAACAAAAAAAGGTCATGGATTAACAGTTGACCCGATTCAGATTTTTGATTTAAGTAAAAACGTAGAAACTTGCGTTTTTATTGTTTTTAATCTTTTGCATGGAGTTTTTACCGATTTTTATTTTCATTTTAACACGTATCATTTCAGTAAAAACGTAAAAGCATAAGTTTCTATGTTTTTACACTAGTTTTTGACAACAATGGTCTTACCGGTCAAATATAGTGTAGTTTATAAACAAAAAATTTGTAAATATAACCTTTATCTAAAAATAATGGTAAAAAAATATAATAAAAACTAAAAAAAAAACCTATAACTTTCTTCATAATCATTTATCCCCTCTCCAAAATTTTGAATCATTTATTCTCTGACTTAAAGTTTCTTTATCACTTATCCCCTCGAGGGGTAAGTGATAAAGAAACTTTAAGTCAATGGGGTAAGTGACAAAAAAAATCTAAATAAAGATGTAAATGATTCAAAAAATTTGTGAGAAAGTAAGTGATAATTAAAAAAATTCATAGTTTTTTTTAGGTTTTTCCAAAAATATATTATGTTATAGTTTTGTCTCCATACAAAATTTTCTGATTCGGTCGTTGCCTGAACCCCATGTTAGGACAGATACCTATCAATCTGGTTCCCGAGGCATGTCACTTCCACAGTTTCACTAGCCATATAATCGGCACCAGTCAGATTTTTCAAGATTAAGACTATGATTATTTATATAATTGAAGCTTTTATAATGACCTAATCTTTTTTTTTCTGTTATATTAAAAAAATGGTATACATCGAGTGATTCAAAAGAAGAAAATTCTTAATCTATAATTACTTAAAAACTTCTTTTTACTCCATTCTCAACTTCTATGAAAACGAACTCCATTTTTAGTAGGATTTAAGATGCTACTACACATTGCGTTGTGTGCATAAGTCATTCTAAGGATGCATCATTATATATACATTATCCTATGTATCTAACAGAATTAATTAATTATTTTTGTTGCCTTAATATTTAAGTTAAACCGAGTTCAAGTTAATTGATAATAGTTATAAATAATTTGTGTCAGATATTATATTATTTAAAGTGTGATGTAAAAGAAAACAAAGCAAAATGTAGTTCTGCTTAGTTTGCCCAGAAAAATCATGTTTCTGGCCAAGAAATCAGCTTGCACCAGTAACTGAGTCTGCCTGTTTGTTTAAGTTTTTAGCTTTCTTAAAATCAATTTCGACATGAGTAAAATTCCTTTTTAAAGTTTTTTTTAATCATTTTTATTGAGTAAATTGGTTTTAATTGTGGAAACCATAAAAGTTTTAAAAGCATATCTATGTTTCCACTTCAAAAATAATTTTACTTTACTATACAGACAAAATTATTCTTAAATATAAATTAATTTATTTTAAATTTAATTCTTTCAAAATCTAAAACAAATGTATTTGGTGTTAATTCTGTTTTTTAGTGAACTTAAAAGCTTTAAGTTAATTTATTTTAATTGATATATTTTTAACAATAATTACAAAATATCGCTAATTTCATATTTTACTAATTTAAAAGACAATAATAAAAATAAATTTTATTATTAGTATTTTAAAAAAAGAAAAAGAAAAATAATGTGTCTTTTTATAGTTTATCAATAAAAATGTATTAATAAAAAAAATAAAAAAATAAACTAGTCTCACTTTTAATTTGGGAGCACAACATGCCGTCGAAGCATAAGAATCTCAGTGCTTATATTTTCTTGTTCTATCTACAAAACGATGTTTTATATTACCATTTTGTCGGTTTAGATGTCGTCTACAGTACACACTTCTCAAGATGGCATTTTCTCAACACCACTATTTTTATTTATTATTTATTTTATAACTATACAATCAATATCGAACAAATTAATTAAGGATTCATTCCTAAGTGAGTTCAATTGAGCGACGTATTCAGTAAATGATTATTAATAAAAATATCTACTTAAGATAAAAGGAATTCAAATTATATTATTATTTAATCATACATTATTATCTTATTAATTTTTTTTTTTATAAAAATGGTTTTAAAAAGTCAAAATTCACATAATTTTTAGTAAGATAACAAAGTGATGTCGTAAATTTCTTTTATAAAATTTTAGTTTCATTGTAGGAACTTATAAAATTTGTTTTTGACCTTATCATGATTTAAGGAAAAATTATGAACGTTTAGTTTTAGAAAAAGGATGTGCTGTAAAAACTCAAGTACTTACAGTTTATTTTTCTTTTATCTATTATCACCTATGTAGCGCTACACAGACACGGGATACGATACAACACGACACTCCGATACGTTAATTATAAAAAATGTAAGATTGTGACACGTTAGGACACGTTTTCATATTAAATAATATTTTTAATTTATGTGGTGTATATTATATTTAATATTCAATAATTTAACAAAAAAATGATACTAAACTTATAATATTCATCAATTTTGCAAAGAAACATAAGATATCTCAAATATATATTAAACTCAATAAAATGATAATCGTGATCCAACGTATCTAATAGTTGGAACTAAAAACTCAACGCAATGCAACCTTTGAACTTTTTTTTGAATTTCTATAACGCGTGTTGGAGTGTTGGGGAGTGTCGGACACGACACGTCAAAATTTTTGAAGTGTCGGTGCTTCATAGATTGTCACATGGTTATGAATCTTTTTATGTGAGACTTTTGTATGATAAATTATGTAAACAAATATTTAATATAAGTTTTCATAGATTTTATTAAAAAAATTATTTATTTAATATCTATTAAGAACGTGTGCAACATCCGAAATCAATTATAAGTGTGAACATTTCAAAACTATTAAAATTTACTTGATTCAGAGGTCCTTGATGATGCAAAAAAATTTGGTTGTAATATGTGATCAATTAAATAATGCTTTTCAGGGTCTAGAAGAAGATAGATGACAGTTTTATATGTTTCAGAGAAGCTACTAATAAAAGAAGTAGGTGACCATTTTCTTCCATAAGTTGCAGAAACGCAGAGAGTTTAATTATTAGATATTTGTTTCTGCCAGGAAAAGATTCTCCACCACTTTTACCAAAAATAAAAAATAAAAAGTTCTCCACCACATTGGGCATTCATGCATGGAAGTGCTTAGTACTCTAGAAAGTTTTTTTTTTTTTTTTAATCAAAAGGGGTTCACTGGAATGAGAAGGTGCACCTTTTGGCCCATTGGACCTTGAAAATGAGTAGTGCTGATCCACTATTCCATTTTCCCTTACTAAAGAGCTTGTTTTGCCTATTCAGAATTTGAGTCACTCTTGATGTTTCATGTTTGTTTTCTTATTACTTGGCTGGGAGGATTATTCTCGCATAAGAAGGGTGTATATTATATACAACTAATTAAAAACTTAATATATATTAAAATAATAATTAAAAACAACAACGTAACAAAGTTCTTGTTGAAATTATTTTAATGTTATCTTAAATTTTTTAGTAATTAATTATACTTAGTAAGAGCATGGTTATGCAAAGAATTGTTCAGGGAAAAAATCTGACATTACTGAAAATACGCAGCATGATAAAGCGTTTGTATTTTATTAATTATTGCCTAGCTAGTTTTTACATAAACTTAGACAAAATGCTTTCTATGAAATTTTAAAGGTGTACCCTTAAGTATTGTGCATTTAGATAAATTAATTAATAATTTTTAAACAGTGACTCAAATTAAAGCTCAAACTAGCTCGAATTTGGATCTCTCTTGATGAAATTTTGTTTGCTTGTTATGCTTGGATCGGAAACTAACTGATGCCGGCTACTAAATCATAATCTTTAGGTTTAATATTATGAAAACTTTCTTAGAAAGTAATGTCAGATATCATAATATCATTTTTGAGTATTTTCATAATGCCGACTGAAGTATCATGAGTATCAACTATCAAGCATTCAGCTGTCAAATGCTATGACTTTTTTCTTATTTAATTATGTGTGCTTCATAAAGCTGTAATGTAAAGGGAAAAGAAATAAAACATATGCACTCCAATCTTATTATATAGTTAGAATAATTAAAAGAATATATTATATTCTGTGGGTTGATCGATACAGTGATCAAGGTTAATTAAACTGGGACGCTTTAATAGGACAAACACCGTAAATATAAATAAACCATAGGAATTGAATTGAAGAACCAGCACAATAGCACATGCACCGCCATCAGCAGAAAAGTCACTGAAGTTAACAGCCACCATTTTGTGTTTTTGTATAATAAAACGGTTGTGTATATATGTCTACCCATGTGAGTCTCGGTCTATAAAAGTGAATGAATATAATAATACGATTCTAGCTAGTGACCGAAAAACAAGCTATTACACGCATTTTTGTAGATGCATACGTGCGATGAACAGGACTAGAGTTAAAATTTGAAGCAATTACCCGCATTTTATATGAAAGTTGTAAATTAGCTACTGTATATAAATATAACATACAAAATAAAATATATACCAATAATTTGTAAGGGTTCAAAACTAGCCACTAATGATGCTGAGAGTCACAAAGATTGGAAAAACTGCCCCTAAGAGACACATTTATATTAAAATAGACTAATATGTGTTAATATCTAAGGAAAAGGATGGTGTAATTTTTCAAAACAGAGGAGATGGTGTATAATTAATTTAAGCATCTCCAGGGTAGAAGAATATAATTTACTTAAAAATTAACAAAACATTCTCTCACCCACTCCCTCCTAATTAACATCACTAGTGCAGGAACATAGGACTACTTTGTTACACCTTCATATCCTTTTGCAAATCCACAATTAACCTGTCATTGTGTATATATGGAGACTGACATTAGGGTTGGGCGTAGCGGGTTGATGGCGATGAAGGGGGAGTGGGCAAGAGAACATCATTAATTTTTTTTTTAAAAAAGCGGACAAGATGAAGCATTTCTTTTAATTCAAGAGTTGGTAAATTTTAGTTGAGTGAGGGGAGAGAGAAAGGAATATGTGATTTTAATCTTGCTAGAACCCCTATATATTTCTAAAATAAAGCATACATGATCATATTTCCATATTTGATTGCAGATACTAGCTGTATATTAATTCTTGTAGAAGCATAGGCTAAAAAAGATGGAGACCGAAAATTATTATACTTGAAAAAAATTTATTTTTTCATTACTATATATTTGCTGCAGGGATATATATAGCAAACTACCTCTAGAAATAATAATCCAAGCACTCAAAAATGATCAGTTAGCAATTTCAATAATCACCTTTTTCATAAATTTTTTTCAGAAGAAAAAGTTTGGTTATTAAGACTCTTTTTCATACTAGAACTAATGAACTAACAAGCCTGTCGATCTAAATATACCCCCCCCCCCCCCCCCCCAAACAACAACAACACACGCAGTCACGCACACACATAAATATCAACCTGCACTTGTGTACCTGGATGAACAATACACCTCCCTCGGCACCTTGATCAGCTGATGGACGAATACATGATATGCTACAAATATAGTCTTCATTATTTATACACCACGTTTATATATTTTTTATGTAGTAGATGTTATATTAGCACACATAACCATCTATATATTCAAATTCATTTGTGTATATTAATAGGGGTTTTGTGAGTATTATATTACATGACACAAGATGTGTCATGCCATAGACACAAACAATAAGTGAGAAAAATCAAATAGACCACGTACCTTTTTGAGTCCGTAGAAAAAATACCTTGTGTGATGCAACATGTCACTCATAAAACCCATTAATTAAACTAAACAATAAGTTATATTTCATACAATATATACTACAAGAAAAAACAGCATTTGCGACGGAAATTTATGCCAATTCCGTTGCAAATATACTTGTTGCAAAATGTTTCATCGTAAATTCTGTCGCAAAAAAATGAATTTCTGGCCAGTGTATGTGTCATATATAACTTTACAGGAAATATACAATTGTAGACATGATGTGCATGCAATGCAAGTATTCCCATACGCATAGACCAGCATCGAGATGTCCTACTATTCTTCTTCATTAAGAAAGAAGACATATAATAAAAGCAGATAAAGATGACTCGACAAGGAAAAAATCAAAAGAAACTGAACATAGGGTGAAGAACAAGGTTTCTTTTTCAGTGCAAATGAAAACCGTTAGGTTTTGAATCCATAACCCACACTCCCACAGTTTGATTTCCACACAGAGAAAAGGAGGCGGACTATATAAGTAACAATTTACTAACTGTCTAAGTACACCAGTTATGGAATCAAAATAAAATATAAACAAAAAAATAGAAACATTTAATATTTAAAAACCCAAAAACATTTAATATTTTATTATCTAAGTTCTTAAGGTAACTTAACGAAAGATATTAAATGTTTTTTAAACAACACTCTCATAACATTGGTTACAAGACCCATATAAACATCAATAATCTGCCACAAGGTAATAACTGCAGCATCAAGCTGGAAGTTGTTTCCTTTATATAAAAGCAATTTACACAAGCGTCTGTAATAATACCACCAACGGGTCTGAAACTTACAAGGGATATTAACAAAAAATAAAAAATAAAAATACAAGGTATCTCTTCAGCTTTAGGTTAATTTTGTCTAACCATGAGTTTCTATTTCACTCCTTTAGGGATTTCCTCAAACATTATCAGACTCAAACCTTGACCTTAGTTAATTATATATATTTATATATATATTGTCTTGTTGGAGTAGAAATCACTCTTGAGTGCGTGCGTTTACATTATATATAAATAATATATACGGCACACATGCCAATAAGCATGTATATGTGTAATTATGCATATATAAAGAGAAAGAGAGAAAAAGGGCACAGAAAGAAAGAGAAGAAATCTAGAGATCGAGACGATATATGACCATAATGGATGTTTCATTATTATTCAATAGCTTCCCACGTCACAGTTGAATTTATTCCCGGAAGAGAGAGTCGGCCAAACAAACTTTCCGGCCAACACTCAAACTGCACAGACATTATTCTATTCTATATATTATTATTATATATGGCTATACGTAACCCAAGCCAACCGTTATGATTATTCTACAGAACTTTTAGTCAACAATATCCTAACAAACCTTTTCCCCTCACACATGACCCTCAATCCCCTAAAATATTACTCTACTTTGCTTCTTCATTCTTTTTCTTTTTCTTTTTCTTTTTTTCTCCCACAAACTAAAATTAATAGTCATCATCATACAAATACACTACTAATACTAAGCACTCCATGATTCCATATACATATATAAGCAATATAACCTAATTAATCAACTACTAATTATTCACTTATTACCTCATGACGATTAAAGCTGGAGGAGCCATCACAAGCATGGCCATGGACTCCGGCGTCGAATCCCAATTCGGCCGGCATGTCCATGGAGGAGGAGGCGGTGGTGGCAGCGGCGGCGGTTGTTGCAGAACTTAGTAATATATTTGGTGCAAAAGGCCAATCACAACCCGGGGCTAAAAGTAATGTGCTAGGAGTAGTAGTAGCAGCAGCAGCAATGCATTGTGGTGGTTGTGGAAGGTGTTGGTGTTGGTGTTGAGTTTGAGGAGTGGATTGAAGCAACCTGATTTGCCTCTTCAAGAACTTGACATAGCGAATGGCTTCATCTAGCATGGAAGCTGTGTCCATTTTGGTTCCACCAGGGACAAGTCTTTGAAGGATGCGTATTTTCTCACTGATCCTCTCTCTTCTATGGCGTGCTGCAACACTTTGTGGGTCGTCACTGATGCGAACGTTTCGCCTCTTTGGCTTTCTGATGGTGGCAGGGTCAATATCCACTGGTTGCATAGCAGCGATCTTGTACATCATCTCCTTCATGGCTCCTAACTCTTCTTCTGGTTCCTCATCTTCTTCTATGTGAACACCTAGTATGTCACTGAGAAAACCTGATGAGGAAGGTGCCATGGTGGTTGATGATGTGGTGGATGAGGATGGTATTTGATGCATTTGAAGGAGGTGGTGGTAGCTGTTGGGCCAAATTCCAGAACCAATATTAGGGATTTGGTGAATAATATGGTCATGTTCATTTGTTTCCATCTTTTCAACATTCCAAGTGTTGTTAACATTTGGGAATGCACTAGTATTCTGGTTGGTATACATCACCAAACAAATATGAAATATGGGATCGATCTAGCTGATGTAGTTGTTTAATTTGCTGAATTTTTTTTAATTTTTTTTTTTTTTGGCTAAAAGTAGAAAAGAAAAGGGAGCAAGAGAAAGAGAGAGAGAAAGAGAGAATCAAAAAACAATAAACAGGGTTTTCGATTTGATCATTTGAAATGAAAAGCCACTTACAAATAATCTAACTAAATATATATATATATCTGCTATATAGTAATAGTAAGATGGTGCCAGCTGTGTGGTTGTTGATGGTGTGGCGAAGAAGGGAAGGGTAATTAGCTTGAAGGTTTTATGGTTCTCATTCTCAACATGGATCTTTGATGGTTCAAAAGGTGGCTAGACCCTAGAGAGGACCCGAAGAGAGAAAAAAGAGAAGAGTACTTGGAACGGGTTTTTACTGAAAGGGGAGTGACTGCAAAAAGCATGTAGATGAATGAATAAAAAGAAAAGGTGGTGCAGCACATTAAAGGGATTCAATGCGGTTCTACAAAATATCATCAATATGTCGAGGCTTATGGAAATAAAAAGTGATGTATAGCCCGTCCCGTTACAATAACCTAGTCTAGACCACAGTTATTTTCCAAGGTTTTATAAAATAAATCTCTTGTATTTTGGTTTTCATTTTAATTTATTACTTTTTAATATTTTTTAATTAATTATACATTATGTCTAAATTAATATATTTTATCAAAATATTCAGATCGAATCCAGAAAATAATCTATTTGCAATTATATAAGGGTAAGACTGCGTATAAGAATTTCCTCCACTCCACACTCGCTAGCCGAATTTAACGGGAGTGATTTTTTTATCTAAATATTCAGATCGAGTGATAGCTACGTTAATCTCGTCTCGACCTCTACTATAAATGTGCTAGTAGCTAGGAGTGAAAAGAATTGAAACTACGAAAGACTAGCTGGCTTTCTCTCTCCAATTTGATTATTTGTGCACTGAAATTCTTGGGCTGCTTCTCCTTTATTACCATTTTTATAGGCCTTCTCGCTCGTTGGTATAATTTCGCTCCCAGTCTACTTCACTAAATTTTGGGAAGGATGAACAGTTGGATGGCATCTTCAAAGTCACAGCTTCGACATTGAAATATTTAGTTCGAATCTTGGTATAAAGTTATGTTAAATCTTAGCAAAAAGAGCTTTGTCAACTTGTGATCCTACTCGACTTCAATTCGGATTAATCAGCGCTATGTTTGCGGTTCCCAGATATATAGTTTACGGGAAATATAAGAATCATGTTGCAGGAATGGAACTGTTCATTCCTGCAACAAGGATACGGCGTCGTATCCTGACTTTGGGCATGTTTGGTGCATAGTATAAGATTAGACCTGATAGTATAAGACCTGATAGTATAAGGCCTGATAGTATAAGCCCTGATTAGATTTTAATACTATCCAACGTTTGACATGACATTGTATAAGATAATGTATTGTATAAAATAATATTATCCAGTGTTTGGTAATGCACTGTATAATACTAGATAGGATAAAAAAAATATTTTTGACAAAGATACCCTTTAATAATTTTTTTATATAATTCTTCTATATATGTCATATGATATTAATTTAGTATGTCTAAAAAATAAATAAATTTTGTAGAAATAAAAATTAATATTTTAACAAAAAACTATTATTGGGAGACTGAATCAGGTTGAGGAATTTCATCAAACACACAGTGTGCAGCTTCCATGTCGCCCCTTTAGCATAATCGGAGAAAATGGTGTTCCAAAAGAACGAGGTCTTAAGGGGCATTTCACCGAACACGCGGTGAACATCAGAGAAGGAACCAATTTTAGCATAGAAATTGAGGAGGTTGTTCATCAAGAAAACACTCATACGAAAGCCCTATTTGATGATTCAAGCATGAATAGATCTTACGATGAATGCGTCTCTGGATTTGATTGCAGATTGTAGAAGATAAATGCATAAATTAGAATTGGAGGCAAGTTTTGGGATCTCCGTCAATACAAACACAATGTGTTAAAATGGGGACAATGTTTCCCTCCCAAGCTGGCACTAGCATCAAGGTTTCGTTGTTATTATTGTAACAATTTGAAAAATCAGAATTCAATTTTGTTACAACTTTCTACACTGATGTGATTTGAGAAGAAGAAGAAATGAGATTACAGCGGGGTGGGGAAGAAGGGGGGTTAAGGGTAAAAGGTTACAATGGGAAAGAGAAGAATGGGATGGGATTAGGCTAATACATCAATTCCTTATCAGGTATAATCCCACCTCTCTAGGCTTGATTAAGTTATACATCATTTTGATGTATTAGGGGATCTGTTGTATAAGCTTATACTATACAATGATTACACCAAACAACTGAAAATTCATTAATGTATAGTATAAGCTTATACTATCAGGCCTTATACATCACACCAAACAGGCCCTTTGGTCTGACTTTTTTTTTTTAAGCGTGGGACCCACACTTGATTTGTGTGTGTAGGAAAGTGCTCTTGTCATGTCAAATGACAAAAAGGGAACCCATAGTTTATACCAATAAATAAATAAATAAATATATATATATATATATATATTTTATATGAGGAAGATTATATTTACTATCTTTTTTCTTAATACCTCTTAATATCAAATCTTAACCGTTGATTTCCGTCAATCTAACTGTTATAATTTAATGGGTCACACTTATTAATTAATTATTAAATTATAACCGTTAGATTGACAGAAATCAACGGTTAAGATTTGATAGTAAGAGATAGTAAGAAAAAAAGGTAACAAGTATAACATTTCCTTATTTATATATATATATATTGAAAATAATAATTCTCCTGTTGCAGGAAAATTATCTTCTCCCGCTAGTGAGAGATTGATTTTCGTGCAAATAGTTTATTTTTTAAAGCAAGCGGGGCCCATAACTATGTCATTTTATAGTGCGAAAGCATTAAATATGGGGATAATAACCATACAAAAATGAAAATAAATATAAAGTATTAAATATGAGAAATCATAACTATACAAAGGTAGAAAAAATATAGTATTTCCATTTTCTACAATTAATTTTGAAAGCAAACTTCCTTTATCCCTACCAAAACGATGTAGTTTTTAGGTGACTGCACCAATATTTATATACAGTCACATTAAAAATCATTGTGTGTGTGTGTGTGTATATATATATGGGCTTATCGTTTCTCAAGCTGCTTGAGATAACTTTATCTCCGGCCACTAAATCATATTGTACAAAGTTGGATTAATGGTGATAAAGAAAGAGAGAGAAAATGAAAATCATAACCATTCAAAGGAGAATCAATTAATATAAAAAAATAAATAAACAAAACGACGTAGTTTTGAGATGGACAGAGATAAATATATCTCAAGCTGCTTGAGAAATATTTTTCTCTATATATGAAAAAGTATTTCTACAGCCACTTTAGATAATATTATCTACAACTACCCCTTTTTAACTAAGTCTGACTAACAAGACACAGTTATAATAATAAAATTGTTCTTTTTTCTTCTCTCCTCAGACATTAACGGCTGACGTCGTGGAGAAAGAAAATTGAGAAAATACAATTTTTATGTCTTACTCGTCAGACTTAGTTAAAAAGGGGTAGTTTTAGACAATTTTATCTAAAATGGCTGTAGAAATATTTAACCCTACATATATATAAAAGACCACATTAAATAACCAGCTAATTAAGGGTCGTTATTTTTTTTTTCAAAGAACCCAAAAACTCTTTCAGTTATGTTAAAGAAATATAAAAATAATTAATATAGGCTCATCTAATAGCTATAAACTTTTGGATTGAAATTGTTCTTCAGAAGGTATCAGAACCAACTTGACTAATGAGTTCAATCCTCATCGTCCCCACTCTATTATTATGTAGTGTTTTTAGCACAGATAGGCTGGATCTGATGCATCGTCCACCCTTCTAGGTCAATGGGCTCTCGATGAGGGGTTGTGTCAGAGAAATATAAAATCCTTAATGTAGCCTCACCAAACAGCTTAAGCTTTTGGGTTGAATTGATTCTGTACATATTATCAAAGCCGATGTGACTAATATATCCAAAAAAACCGATGTGACTAAGTGGTCACGAGTTCGATCCTCACTACCCCCATTATATTGTTATCCCCCCTCAAGCCTATTGGGCTCTCGTGTGAAGGGGCATATTAGAAAATATAAAAATCATTAATGTAGCATTACATAATAGCTTAAACTTTTGAATTGAAATAGTTCTTTAACAATTTCAAAATATTTAAAAATTTTATGATAATTAGATAAGTTTTTTTTTTTTTTTTTTTTGTAGAAAACAACTTTAATATTTTTCTTAGAAGATAAAGAAAGTAATTTGGTTTTAAAAAATGCATCATAAAAATATTTTTTTTTAATTTTACCACACGGAATAAAAATATAAAAAGTGAAAAATATTTGTTCTTTTAAAGGACAATCATTTTAGTTAAAATTATTATTATTTATTTAGTATTTAAATTTTAAAAAACTCTCACTTTCTTCTACCATGATTTCTATTGTGAACTATTTTTCTCATCATAAAAGACAGTAATTTTGAGTAAAATAATATATTTTTATATTCTTTAAAAGAACAAGCACTAATCCCATATAAAAATCAAGGGAAAAATGACCTTTTAATTTATCACGTTTACCCTTAAAACCTATTCTCTTTCCAATCATAAAAGGTGCCTTATTAGGATGATAGTGATATATATGTACAAAATGGTTTAGAAGAATAAAAATATTTGTTTAGTTTACAAATTATGTTTTGAGTATAATCTGTGAATTCAAGCTAAATGATATAGAATAATAAATAAAGTTGTTGCTTTTCTCCTAAAAAGAAAACTTTTATACCGATTCATCAAAAATAAATAAATTGTGTATGCTTATTCTCCAAAAGAAACAGTAATACCTATTCACCAAAAAGCTTGTGATCAGTTTTTCTACACATACATATGTAGCATGTAACTTTTCCATGGAATATTTTAGATTTTGATCA